CTTCTTACTGGGACTGAAAAACTTTTTTTACTTGAAATATTAATAATGACAACTTAGTATTAATATTTCTTATATATCAGGTACCATGCTATGGCAAAAATGGCACAAATTCTTTGCTATTTCTATTATTTAGAGGGGAGTCTCTTTCCCTATTGAATCTGGGTTGGCCTGTGATTTTACAAAGCGAATGTGGCAGAAGTAACATTCTAGGACTTCTGAGGCTCAGTCATAAGAAGCCTGGCAGCTTCCGCAGAGGTGTATTGCAACCTTCACTCTGGGGTTCCAGCTTCCATGCCGTAGGGAAACACAAGCAGCCTCAAGGAAAGCCCCACTGCCGAGCACCCACGGCTCCTGGCTGAACTTCCACCTGACAGCTAGTACAAACCTGCCTGCCAAGGAGGTGAGCTCTTTTGGGAGTACAGCCTCCAACCCTGGCAGATGACAAGAGGAGCAAAATGAGCCGATTCCACCGAGCTCTTCCCACATTATTGATGTGTGAGCAAACTGAATGATTGTGGTTGCTTTAAGCATAGTTTGGGGGTAGTTTGTTATGCAGCAATAGATGACCAGAACATGTGCTAAGGCCTTCACGAACATTATCTTAATTTATTCCTCACAATAATCTTATGAGGCAGCTATTATTATTCTTATTTTAAGATGATGAAGCCGAGGCTCAATGAGTTTGCATAATCATCCAGGGTCAGTCAATTCCATTTTGAAGATGGGTATTTCTCCTGATTGATAAGTATTACTTCACTTTATGATCCATCTTATTCACAAGACAACTGTTGAGTCAGACACGACTAAGGTTAAATCTTAGTTCTGCCCTTATTGGCTCTATGTCCTTGCATAAACAGAAGACAAGTTTACATTTCATAGGACCGTGAAGATCCCAAAGATACATATAATGATTTGGCAGATGGTAGGCACTCAACAATGGGTAAATATTATTTGCTTTGAAAACTGTTTTCTATAATGAAAAAGCAGCTAGTGGTAAAAGGCTGGTAGAAACGGTATTTGATGGTGTGAACACGGGGTACACTCACATTTAGGAGCAGGTATGTACCAAAATAATGGTCTAACTTTTAAAATAAAAAACCCTGTAACATCACATGACGGTAAACCATGTATGCATATATGGCATGTTTACATGTATATACAACACACAAGTGTATTTAACAGATTTCTTTGAAGTATAGAAAATTCCTGATTAAACAACTATTTGTTACTTCATTTTCATGATTCCTTCCAGCTCTAAAATTCTCTGAATTTTACTTTGCCTTCTTCTACCACCTCAGATGTTAAGTGCCTTAAGAAAAAAATGCAATCTCAGCCAAGTTTCCAACCATGCCAACATCCGTGTGTAATTTGAAAGCTATTCCTAAACAAGCTGATATTCTGAGCAAAGGCCTTCCTCTCTAGTGTTGACTTCTACCAATTTTTAAACAGGGACCGACCTAAGTAAAACAGGTCCTATCAGGTGGCTGCCATCTTCCCCCCGGGAGGTCAGTGGAGAGGGTGTGAGGAGTAACACAGCAGCAGCTGAATGGAGGTCAGCAGTAGGGTGAACTGCTGGGAACGTTACTGGGTCTGCGACAGGTGCTTAAGAACGCAGACAATTGGATGTACTCGTTCTTCCTTTATCCTTTTTAGCCTGTCTTACTCATTTATTTCCAGCTGAACTGGATGATGGTGGTCAGCAGTAGTAAGAACTAAAATCTCAGCAGCTTGTCGAAAGACTCCTCCAACCTGTGCCCACGTGCTCAGTGCTTGTATAACATGAGCTAAGCACGGCCTGCTGGCCCACAGAATCCTTCGGGTACAGCTCTTTTTGTTTCTAGTCTCTTCCCTACTAACACTGGCGCTCTGACTGACTGACAAGATGAAGAACTGTATCCTGTTTAGAAAGTCTGAACAACAAATCTGAGTAACATCTACTAAAATCTGTATCCTGTAAACAGAGACTATACTTTTTAAGCACTCCTGGAACATTTAAAAAAGTGAAAGACAATAAACCCCCCAAAGCACATAGCACTCTGTTTTTGATGCCATAAAGATGAAAATAAAAGAACCAGAAAATAAAACTTCCACTCGACCCACATTAAAAAATCCCATTATCTGAGGAAAAAAGTGAAGAAAAAAAGGTATCCTTTCTTATGCAATTTTTGAGTCAAAGAGGAAATCAAAACTGTAACTTAAGGACACCTAGAAAATAACAGTAAGGCAACACTAATAACCTAAATGATTCAACTGAAGCAGTGATCCAAATTAAGTCCACGTTTTCAATCTCATTAATTAAGAAATATTAATAAAAATAAATGAATTAAGAGCTAACTCAAGGAGTTAGGAAAAAACAAAATAAACTAAGGAAAGCAAAACATAGGAAAATTTAAGTGGAAATCAACTAATTAGAAAACAAAAAATAAAATTACAGAATGGAAACATCCAAGGCATAGCACTTTGGGGGAAACAAAATACACACACCAGGCCGGGCACAGTGGCTCATATCTGTAATCCTAGCACTCTGGGAGGCTAAGGCAGGAGGACTGTTTGAGCTCAGGAGTTTGAAACCAGCCTGAGCAAGAGCAAGACCCTGTCTCTACTAAAAGGATGAAAATTAGCCAGATGTCTTGGTGCACTTGGGTAGTCCCAGCTATTCGGGAGGATGAGGTAGGAGGATTATTTGAGCCCAGAAGTTTGAGGTTGCAGTGAGCTATGATGATGCCACTGCACTCCACCTGGAACGACAGAGCGAGACTGTGTCTCAAAAAAAAAAAAAAAAAAAAGAAAAGAAAAAGAAAAAAAATACACCTAAGAAACCCCCCAAACAAACAGGTCAACTGTTAGCTATCTTAATCAAGAACATAAGGGAGCAAACATAGTACAAATTCAGGGGGAAACAGCGACATGCACAGAAGACAAAACTTTGCTCAACTCTAGGTACATAAATTCAAAAACTTGGATTAAGTGGATGGTTCCTGAATCCAGACAAGATATAAAAACCACATGGATTAATTACCAGAGAAGATACCAACAAAGTCATCAAAGAGCTACTTGCCAAACATCCATCGGACTCAGATAATTTCACTGAAATTTTAAGAAACAGAAAATATCAATGCTATTTAAACTGTTCCACAACACAAGAAGCAAAGTTTCCAAATGTACCAGCATAAAATACAAAACTTCTCATAGATAACATGCATATGTGCACCAACACATACATACATACAGCTATAGACATCTCACTGATAAATACAAATGCAAATATCCTAAAACATGAAATGTAATCTAACAAGATGGTAAAAAAATACACATGGCCAAGTAGACTGTATTTCAGGGATGCAAGGATGGCTCAAAATTACCAAATATTATTAGTGAAATTCATCTTATGAAAGATCAAAGGAGAAGAATCACATGATGCTGAAAGGCATGTGACAAAACTCAGCATGCATTCTTAAAAACATTCTAAACATAAAGATCAGCTGAGACTCCTTAATATGATTGAATGTATCTATCTGAACCCAGCTGATTATAGCCAATGTTATTTAATATTATTCTAGAAGTACCAGACAGTTCTATTAAACAAGATACAAAATGGTATGCAAACTGTAACAAAAGTTACAATGTATTTGCAGATGACATGATTGTGTAGTTGGAAAACACAAAATAATTAAGTGAAATACTATTACAAACTATAAGAAAATGAAGTCAGGAGGCTAGGTAGAAAACATAAATCATTAGCCTTTATATACACTAAAATTAGGCTAAATTATAAACAGAAAGAACTTCATTAATAATGACAATAAAAATGATGAAACTTGTAAAAATGAACTCTTAAAAATGTATGAGATCTCTGTAAAGTAAAATGTAAATATATCTAAAAGAAACAGCAAAAAAAAAAAAGACAAATTGGCATTTTTAGATAGACTGCCATGATTTAGATAAGATACTAACATCAAATTTTCCTAAGTTAATCTATAAAATGAAAACTGTCCCCCACAAAAAAAGTACCAACGGATTTTTTTTGTGGAACGCAACAAGTTGATGCTAAAGTTCAAGTGGAAAAAATACTTGAAACATTTTAAAATTAGTTATTAAAATATAGGACTGATACAAAGAGAGGCAGATCAACTGAAGAAGACAGAATCAGAGACCAGAAACACACCCAGTATGAAAATTCACTACATGATAAATTTGTTCCATTTCAAATTCGTAAGGAATGGATGTATTTTTTAATAAATAGCTTTAGGAAAACAAGGTAGTCACTTGAAAAAGAATAGTGAAACCCTAAATTCAGGACAGATCAATGATTTAAATATGAAAAGTCAAATAACAGAAATGTTCAACTTTACTTTTAATAATAAAATTCTAGTATTTTTCCCTTTGAGAAAAGGTACCAAGAATGTATGTATGGTATAATTTACATTATTATATAGGGCATTATAGGCATATGGACACATTTATGTATGTGTATGGTATTTCTGGAGGGATATACAAGAATCTGGTACTGGTGTGTGTCTGTTTGAAAGGTAACTAAAAGATGGGTGTTGGGGGTAGGAGAGGAACTTACTTTTTACTGTTTGAACAAGATGTATTAAAAAATAAATTAAAACATATGCCAGAAAACAAAACCAGAAACCCTACACTTGATACTATATTACTAGGACCTAAAAGAAAATTAATTTGGTAACTCAAATTATACCAGGAGAATATTCTGTAGGGGTCTGCAATGTATGTGAAAATAATATAAAAAGAGAACTGTGTTACTGCATCTTGCAAGATACATCAATTAAGAGGCAGTTTTCTCAAAGGCAAAAGAATATTCAGTCCTTAGGGAATTTTACCTTCCAGTATTGGTATGAACTACTACTTTACCATAAGGTAGTTAAAGGAAGACTACCCCTCCTTTCATTTTTATTCTAGACATATTACATATTTTATGGCCTGAATTTGTATATGCACCAAAATTCAACAAAAATAAAGAACAGCTTTTGATTTAGAAAGTACCTCAAGGCAATAAAAAAAATCATTTTAATTTTTGATACATACTAAAACATTTTAGTCAGTTCCTCCTGACAGCATAACACGACAAATACACAAGACCTCAAACATGCTTTAAAATGACATTCAGCAAAGTACTTAAAATTTAATAAATAGCAATAATCACAAATACATTTTCATACTCAATCATCAAACTACTAAAATAGACAGCTAAAGAATAAATAAACAGGAATTGACAATAAAAAAAATAAGTGGGGTTTTGCAATTCACTCTCCTTAAAAAGGGGGGACGATCCAAATGATTTCTTAATTTTCTTTTCAAGAGTATAGCATGATCCCCCCATGAATAAAATATACTGAAAAAAGAATCACTCTTACAATAATGTATTTTTTAAATACAACAAATAAATATGAAACCAGCAAAGCAATTTCAAGTTGTAATAAAAATGCCCCTCCCCCAAGCTATGGAAATATATAGTCATTGTGGTAGCAAATAATAGTATTTAAAGTGATAGTGCTTGTGCACTAAACTCATCTGAGACCTTGATATAATTTTAGTGCAAATCCCTAGGGTCCAATACAAGCATAACCCTGTATTAGGGAAAGACATTACCAGTTGGAACTTATATTGTACAATTTTTGTACATATTTATAAAGTTCAAGATTTAATGCATAGTAGAGTATCTTTGTCCGCTTAATTCTGTCCCTTAATAGAGATGACAAAAGAAATGACTTGGGATTTTACCATTTGGTTTGTACCATATTACAGTATTAAAGTCAACATTAGAAAATCTATAAAAGAGTTTTGTTTTTGCCATTAATTTATCTAACTCTACCTAAATTTCACATCACTGCATGTTAAATGTAAGAAAAATTTTTAGAGAAAGTTTTTTCCCTTTGACAAGCTCATATTATGATGAAATCCAATAAGAGACAAATGTTATATAAATAAAAACACAAGTGAGTATAAGCGGTTTTTTATACATTAACAACCTTAACATCTAGTATACTGTTAAAAGATGTGTTGGCAAAAGCATAAAAGTTTCAATTAAAATAAGGTACTATTTTGCACAAACAAACCTTTTAACATAGGGTAGATAAAATGACAGTCGAATGAGTTTCAGCAGCCATATCTCTACAGTGAACTACAGTACCAGGATAAAAACAATTAGAAACAAATGAAAGAACATTATTGAACGATATGAACACATAATGCATTTTTAGCTGCTAAAAATAGTAAACTCTAAGTTCATAGAGTTACAAGTTAATTTAACCATGCAGGCTAATATATAATAATAAGAAATAACCCTGCATCTTTTTTTCTTTTTAAACTAAAACTAGTTTAATTGTAAAGTTACAAAACAATAAATGGATATTGCTCCAACTTGTATACAATCTCTCTTAGGTGATTCATACCTAGCAAAGTAACAAAGCCTCATCATCGCTCGTTTCGTTTTTCAGAGTTGCTTCTAAGCAAGTGTCTGGTATCTGGGCAGTGTGGACAATACCACAGCGCTCACAGGGGCCATCTTGATTACTTGGCCTTACTCCAGGGTTTGTTGCATTACATGGTTGTCTAAGCCCTTGTCCTTGTTCTGAGGCAAGATCAAGAAGAGGTCTGGAGCAGTCATTCACATCAAAGTCTGAAGCTCCATCAGAAACTGGAATTAGCATTTCGACGTCATCATCTTCTTCTCTTCCATTTACCCCATTATCAAGTTGTCTCAAAGGACTCTGGTTCTGATTTACGGAACTTGACCGCCCTAATGTAAAACGTACCCAACGTAGCCCCTGAGTCATACGACTTAGTGCACTTGTAAGTTGGTGACGTGCTGGACTCACACTTGGGGGTTCCACACTGGTCACATCCCTTCCAGCATCTGTATGACCACCTCGGGTACTGTGAGTTGAGGAACTTGCACATGCTCCTACTGTTGCTTCTACTGCTGTTGTGGGAGGGACTTTTTGGGGCAAAGGAGCTGCAACCCCACCAGATGCTCCTGCTGTCTCTCTTCTCTCATTTTCTGTGTCTGTATCATCAGACTCCACGGAAAATAAACTTCTGTGAGAATGATTTCTTTCAGGTTCTCTGCTCGTACTTTGACTAGGGACAACCTCATCTCCATCAGCTGAGACCAAAGCCAATGACCCTGAACGACGTGATCTCGCGAAATTAAAAATACGGTTCCAAATGTTGCTGGACCTGCCTGCCATAGGAAGCCTGATCGAAGTAAATCCAAGCTGAGATCGTACAGCTAGCCTCAGGTTTTCCAAAACAGAAGCCTACAAAAATAAGAAAAGATCTTAAGACAGCTAACAGAGGTATTAAGATGAAAAACACTCCTATTAAGAAGATGTTGTGGTTAAAAATTCTATTACTCATTGTTATTATGGTCTGTGGAAAATGAGTTAAATTTTCTCACCTATATAGGTATACCCCACCACAGAATCTAATCTGTAACTTGAATTATTGTTTACGGTGTTTAAAATTTTTTTGATACTTCATTGATATTTAATGTCAATTAGAACAGCTATTTTGTTTCAAAACCTCACACAGTAATACAATCCTAAGAGTGTACCAAAGTTAGAAAATAAAATTATTTGATACTTTTATAAGTAGGAAAATTGAAGAATCTCTACCACAATTCCCTAAGTGACCTAAAAAAGTGTGAAAACCAGAAGAAATTAAATTTGATTTGTAAGGCTGAACCTTTCTAAAACATGTGAAAATTGTATTTCAGAGTTCTTTCTCAAGGATTTGCTGAATGAATGGATACAGAAGATCTAATTACATTGTCACAAATAAAGGAATTAATACATTGGTAATAAAGTACAGAAAACAACAAAAAACAAAAAAAAGCTAAAAAAAATTAACTTGTTTATACACTACCCAACAGTATCTACACATTTAGATTTCTTCTCAATCTTTAAAGATAAGTTTTATTTTCTACAGTTTAGTATTAAACATAAATTATCATTATTATTTGAAAACTGGTGATTTTTAATTAGTGTATATAAAAGGTAACTATATTGCCCAACTGAAATAAAAATATTTTTTCTAGATGAATGAGTTTACAGATTTTTTTTAAAAGGTACATTATATAATACAGTCTTTAAGCTCCATCTAGTGGTTATTATAAAAAGGCATATTCAAACTTGGAAAAAACAGCTTTTGTCAACTTGGCATTTAGTATGTAAAATATAGTATTTCCAGAAAATAATGGTGAGTCGATATACTCTCCTTCAAATGATGATACAGTTTCCCTCTGCCAAAACTCACACCTCTTGCCTTTACCCTCATAGAAAAAAGAAAGGTAGAGAATAAGGAAGATGTGATAGCTTATGCCCTCCATCTCTCCTTGTGAGTGGGATTGTATTTATTTGTGCTTTCCATACAGGCCCTTCCATAGTGTCGCAAACACAATTCATGTAAAGCTAAGAGGCTACTATCATAGGAACATTCCATAATCCAGCTTTAATAAAGCACATAAGAAATTTGGATATCATTATACATGGATTTGCTATACAGATGAGTAAGATTTTTCACCAATTAAGAGGTAACTACGAATTAAAAAAAGAAAAATTCACATGCCTAATAAACTCCAGATTTGGTCCTCGACACTTAGCATTCAAGCTGTAAGGCTTTGTGTGAACCCTGTTACTATGTCCAGAAATGAACAAGGCTCTTCAGATATCCTTCCACATTATACAGCTATTATCCCTCAAGATCAACAATGCTTTCAACGTACCTTACTGCTGACTTTAACATTTTAGTTTGTCATAGTGATGTGAAACGCTCTACTTAGTTAAAAGTCTGTTTAATTAAAAGATTATCAAACTAACATTAGATTTTATGAGGGGATCTCATGAATGTTTTAGGAATAATTTTATATATTTCTTTGGTTTATGAAGCAGAAAGCATTCCTCAGAAAGCATTTCCATTTTGAGTGAGACAATAAATTACAAGATTTTTTTCTTTTTTAAAACCACTATGGAAATTTGATAATTTGTTACCAAAAGTTTCAAATTTGAGAGTTTAATCTCATTAAATGAATAAAATCTAATTTACCATTCATAAATATATTTTATTTTAAAATGTTGTTGAAGTACAATTCTCACACAAGGGTACATTATAAGCCTAGAAAATGGGGTAGTATGTAGTAAAGAATTTAACCTTACCCAAAGCCTTTGTCCTTGGCTTCTGGGATGTGACCTCTAAGCTCCTGGAATGTCATGCCCGATAGAAGTGTCTTTGCCTGGGGGCCTTGGACCAGCCAGACAGTAACACTGTGATTTAGCATGGAGGCTCTGTGCCATACCAACAATGTGCTGTAGGGTGGGGGCTTTGGGTCAATCAATCTCCGAAGGTGCTAAAGACTGAGATTAACCACATGTGCAATTAATTACATCTAATGTGATAGAGCCCCAATAAAAACTCTGAGCACCAAGGCCTGGGTGAGCTTCCCTGGTTGTTAATACTCCATGCATATTGCCACGTATCTGTGTCCACAGAGTAATATTCTCCTATCTCTATGGGGAAAGGACAACTGGAAGGTTCACGTTTGGTACCTTCATCAACTCTGTCCTATTAATCTTTTCCCTTGGCTGTTTTTAATCTGTATCCTTTCACTGTCATAATCTGTAACCACGAGTAAACAGCTTTCAGTGAGTTCTATGAGTCCTTCTGGTGAATTACCAAACCTGAGGGTGACACTGGGAACCTCCCAAATTTGTAATTGGTGTTAGGAGTGAGGCAGCCTTATGTGTGGACTGTGTTTGCTTTAACCTCATAGAGATAGTGAGTGGTAGATAGTGGAGTGGGTTTATGGAATTAACCAAGTTCTGAATTCCTAACGAAAAAGAAACCTTCCTCATGACAAGGCTGATATAAATAAACCACAAATTCCAATCAGTGGAACTTGTGAATTATTTACTTAGCAAATTATATCTGGAGAAATGTTTTAAAACTACCAGTTCTCACCAAAGATTTCCTAAAAGATTCAAATAAGATGACAAACTGTACTCAGAAATCTCATCCACCAAAAAGGAAACGATCCTCCATTCAAACAAAATTAAATCACTGGGAAAACAATGTTTACCAGTTTTTCTTAATTCTAATACTGGAAACAATTTTTACAAATGTTCCTGGATGAATTTACAATTTCAATATATAAACCATTATGATTAAAACAAACGCTGGCACATTTTTAAGCACTGAAAAAGAAATTTAAAAAAAAATGCTGAGAAATTTAAAGAATTCTGGAACATTAATAAATAATGAGTTAATCATGTAAGAAAATGGTATAAATTCTTAAACACTATAAAATCCAGCTTGATGTTTTTTCTCCTGTGACATAGAAACATTAACTTCATTTCAATTACTTTTACTTATAACTGGTTAATCTAGTATGTTATATTAATAACATATTCATTTTAGTATTCATTATTCAATTGTCCAAATGTTCAAGTAGAAAATAATTTGCCAAATTTACTTTTAAATTTTAATGCACTAAATTATTCATTCATTCATTTATTTATTTATGTAGACAGAGTCTTGCTCTGTTGCCAGGGCTGGAGTGCCGTAGTGTCAGGCTAGCTCACAGCAACCTCAAACTCCTGGGCTCAAGTGATCCTCCTGCCTCAGCCTCCTGACTAGCTGGGACTACAGGCACGCACCACCATGCCCGGCTAATTTTTTCTATTTTAAGTAGAAATGGGGTCTTGCTCTTGCTCAGGCTGGTCTCGAACTCCTGAGCTCAAGCAATCCTCTTGCACTAAATTATTTTAGACAGTAAAATGCTTAAGAATTGCACAATCGAATTCAAAGAATGAAAAATACATCTTTGTATTTTGTAGTATTTTTTAAAATATAAAGAAAATTATAATTTCAAATCTTTCATATATTTAAATCTTTGATTTGACTGCAAAGTTCTGACACGGTCAAGGGTCCCTGCTTTATCACATATGTAGGCACAGGTTTTATTTTAAGAGGTACTGAAATAGAAATCATGAATTGCAATATACCTGATTAGGTGAACAAACAGGAAAATCTTCAACTGGTGGAATTAAACCCTGAGCTATCAATTGTCCATAAGAGGGAGGAGCTTCTCTTCTTAACAGTTCTGCTTCCACTCTTGACAACTGTGTTTCAAATGATCTTTGAGAGCAGACAGGGACAAAAAGGGTTAAAAGAAAAAAGGGCAAGCCAAAACAGTAATTTTCTATTATCAATAATTAAAACAATCTGAATATTAGTATATTTGATCATTTTTAAAGCTTAGTCATTCAACCAACATTTACTGAATATACATAGTATCCCTACACCAGGAATGCAAAGATGAAGCAGTCTGTCTGTCCTCCTGGGGCTTCACACTAGTAGAACCTTGGATCACTAAGTTTTACTAAACTGAAAATCCATGTAAAAGGTAAAGACAGAAATGATACTACGCTTCTAAACCCCTAAGAATATTTGGGGTACGGAGAACTTCAGACTTCAGGTGACAGTATTTGAAACTCTCAGAAGACACTATTCAAGTCCAACACATTCATTTTTCAGATAAGAGTGAAATGAGTCACCAATACACTTTCTGGAATATTTAACTCAAGACCTCTGGCTCTTTATTGTGCTCTTTTGTTGCAGGCTATTTATACTTGCCCCTCCAAAAAGACGCAGTAATAGTTGTTATGATACTGTGCATCTGTGTGCTCTGATTATCTTAGCTGGCTGGTATGTAAAGTTCTTTGCTAAATCTATTATTTGTAATTTTCCTGGGACTGAAGGTCATTGTCTCCACAATGGGCTCCTAGGGGATATTTCTGTTATTAACTTCTCCCAGGTCCAATTTACCCTGCACCACACTGGAAAGTACTTTCTCTCTCTGAAGGTCATTTTTTTTTTTTTTTTTTCAGCTAATTTTTTTTTTTTTTTTTGGTAGAGACGGGGTCTTCCTATGTTGCCCCTGCTTGTCTCAAATTCCTGGACTCAAGCAATCCTCCCACCTCAGCCTCCCAAAGTGCTGGGATTACAGCTGTGGGCCCCACACTCAGCCTTGAAGGTTACCCTTTAATAGTTATAGCACTTCTCACTGAACTGGGAATGCTGAAGTGTGGCTCTCACTGAACTCTACAGCATGACACTAGCCTGGTGTTCTAGTCTTATCTCCTCTTAGTCTTTTGTATGTATCCTAGGCTCCAGATAAGTTGAACTATTCTCTTATTTCTGAGCAATGCTGAGCATTCCTACTTCTATATATTTTCCCAGACTATTAACCACCACACCTTTTCCCTATCTATATTCTACTCATACATTTCAAATGGCACCTCTCCAGGTAAAGCCCTTCCACTACCTCCCATTAGACTGAGTAGTTTTGACTCTTACACCACTGTTTTATAGCTCTTATAGCACTTGCACCAATTCCTTCCTCCTAACTGTAAACTGCTTGTGATATTATGCCTTATTCATTTTTCTATTGACTTGTATAGTGCTTTGAACACAGGTTTCCAAATATCTGTAATTACTGAATTAATATTTATAAAAGTACAGGTTAAAACACTGCAACTCAGAGTAGCAGCTTACAGAATTCCTATAAGACAGACTAATTTGAAAACAGGAGCTGGTAAACATATTTGCTTTTCTCCTAACTTTTAAGTATTTCATTTGTAATGCGTTTAGCCTTTTGAGTCTTGGGCTTTTCACACTAATTTTACATGTCATAAACAATCTTCACCCATTTCTAAACTCATAAAACAAAAATATATTGCTAATCACATTAAAGTACTTTTTTCAAATATTTGGACCTGTTTTTATCGTAGACAGCATAACCACTACATTTCTGTCTTGATACTGACCTTCGTTCAAACATTCTCAGAGAATAAAGTTTACAAGTACATCCCAACGCAATGACAAGTAACAGGCCACAGATAAGGCTTCCTATGACGGCTGCAGTGATGACTCTGGTAGGCACAATTACTGGGCAATTCTCCTCATCGCTGCCATCACCACAGTCATCTTGAGAATCACACACCCAACTTTCAAACACACAACGATTGTTTTTACAATGAAAGTTTCCTGGTTGGCAAAAAAAGCAGTTTTTTTCATCTGAGCCGTTTGGGCAATGGTTCTGGTAGTTGCAGCGATCGGAACGAGGATAACAGACACCATTTCGGGAACATGGAAATTCTTCCTTTTGGCACATGGTACAATTGGTTTCATCTCTTCCATTTGGGCAATGCCAATACCCATCGCAACGCTGCTGTTCAGTATAACACCCCCAGTTACCTCCACAGGGTATTTCCCACGGCAAACAGAAGCCATCTACTTGGTAAGTAGCATTAAATCCCCTTGCAGCATTCACTTTATCAGCACAAAAATGTACCCTTATCTGTCCAGAAGAAGAAACAACTGTAAGAGGTGCATGAGAATCAAAAGCAGTTAACACACGCAAAAGCTTGTGAGGATTCTCTTCTAACCCATCATATATTTTCACGTAATCACCATAACCAGTACCATCAAGTTTAAAGTCAGTGAAGCGCAAAATGACTTTACGGTGATCACCGGTGTCTATTAACCAGGTGCAATTGCTTCCAGGAGGATAAAAGTCTGGATAATTGGGAGAATTAAAAGTACCATAAAAATATTTTAACCACTGCCCACAAGTTGGCACATCACAGTCTATCTCATCTCCTAGGTCAAGGCAGTCAATGTTCCCATCACATTTTAAAGATTCGGGGAGGCAAGTATAAACTTTGGTAAAACGGGATAGACACTGGAACTGGTTGTAAGCACAGGGTTGAAAAGAAGCAGCTGTTGGAGGATTAGCTTCTTTGGCACAGATCTCTTCATCAGAACTATCTCCACATTCGTCCATGTTGTTACATTTCCAGGCTTCTGGTATACACTTTCCATTGCCACAACGAAACTGATCACAAGCACAGTTTGGTTCCTGAGATTTCCCTGGGAAGATACATGTAGAAGGGAGATGGAGAGGAAAGGAGAAAAATACATACTCTTCAGAAGACTAACAACAGCAAGTGGTATTTTTATAACAAATGTTGATTAAGCCCAAGTGATAAGGGTTTCAAAAAATCTTGCTTTAAAAAAACAGGTTAAATTCTAATAAAAAGTTAGTACTGGCACACTAATTACTGAACAATTCAATTTATTAAATGATTACTGTTACATGAAGATCTCTGCATTGTGATCTGTTTTTGCAGAGAGCTATTTTACTGCAGAACATTGAGTAAAATAAAAGATTCACAAGCCAGTAAGATATACTGAAAACTTTAAATAACTTATTGTATAGACATTATAACAATGACAGACATTTTTAAAGGAAGAAAAATTTATCCACAATCACCTTTTCAAATAAATTGTTTTCATATTCTTCTCTAGTTCTTGACTGTATATTTATATATACACAATATTTTGCTACATACGTCATAGTATATTTTGCAAGTGCATTATTTAGACTGAAACTTTTGCTAAGATTATAAGATCAATTTTAACTATTTATGTTTCATGTAATCATAATACAATACTTTCATCTTATAATTTTTATTGTTTTAACACAACTGTAAAATATTGCATGAATCTGAGCTAAAGGTATAAACGTATTCATCAAAATAAACAGAAGAAAGGCAGAGAAAAAAATTGAGGTGTCTACAGAATTCGAATTATTACTTTAGTGCACTATCCCACATATACAACAATGGGGTAGGGAAAGACAACCAAACAATATTAGATTTCTACAGTCCTCAAATTAATAATGTTGGGCCAATACTTCTCCACTAAATAATTTATTAATAGGTGACAGAAAATGTGCTTCACTACTATATAAATAGTAAAAAGATGGTGTTTTTAAGAAAAAAGGTAAAAGGTAGCACATGTTTGCTAAAGAAAACTTTGTAATTTCAAAAGATGGAAAATAATTTTCAGCAAGAAATGTACATAACTAATGCTCTGAATTTCAATGATCTGGTCACTCTTTCTGGATACAGTTTAAGAAAAGCAAAAAAAATTTTCTTCTTCTGAGACTATAAACTATGAAGTGAAATTCATACAAAAAATACATTCTGAAATAACTTTCAGGACATGGGTGAGCATTTCAGGGAGAAAAAATATGTTTTAAATAAATGTATTTAAGATGTTTAAAAAGAAAATTAACCTTAGTTTATGAAATTAATCATTTTATTAGTTATACAAAACACCTTTTGGAAACCCAGTTCTAGGGCATCTAACTTTAGCTTCTAATCCTCAATCTCAGCTCCCTTGAGAGGCTAGTCATCATTAAATGGACATTGTTTAGAAGATTAGCTTTGAAGTGACTGAGCAATTAATACCATAGAAGTAGGTTCAGTATCTTTCTTCTTATTTAAAAACACACCTGAAAAATACGCCAGTCTGAAACCCTTTCTAGAGATACTATCATCAGAATGAAATCTGATCCAGACGTGGTCTTGTGAAGAGATATACGGAGGTGGAATCGTGGAACCACAAGCTCTGTAACTTTCAATATTCTTGTATGTTTCTATTGTCAACCAATCCAAGCTGCACCTTCTGGACCCTTGAATATCAAAATCCTGAAAACTACAAAAAAAAAAAATCAGAAATGGCTATTAAAAAAAAGGCAATTTTAGAAAAAAATTCGTAATAATACAATGTAACTGAGGACATTCTCATAAGCATTCATACGTTCACTGATTCTCCTGGGTTTCCCAGGCATACGACCGTATCATTAGCAAATAATAATACTGCCTCTATGTTCCTAATCTCTTTCCCAGATTCTAGAACAATACTACTTCTTCATAAGTAATGTCAGATTCCATAGTAATGCTAAAAAACAGGTAACAGTTGGCACCTTTTTCTTTTGCATGTGTTTAGAAAGGACTACTTCTAATTCGGAACATCTCAATTGTTCTGTGTTCAAAACAGAATCACCAGTCCATAATCTGATGAACTGAAGTATACACAGAAAAAGTCAGCCTTATCTTAAATTAGACTGATTCTTTATCTGCTTGCTTAACAAAAAATGTATAGATTATAATTTTAGGAGGATAAATAGCAGAAATCTGAGCAAAGTAAAATAATTTAAAATGAACAAACAAAAACCCATTTTCAGTGAAAAGTCCCTTAGTTTGGGAATACTCTTTTACATAAATCACTTTATAGCCAAACATTATCTAGTAGTTAATAAAATATGGCATGAGCATAGGGCAAAAACATCAAATAAATAAAAGCACATATAAAATGAGTCACTGCTTACGAAAAAAGAAACCACGATATAATCTTCCAATATCTGAACATGTCTCACCAAAAATTGGAGATCTGACTTTGTTTTCTTGTCGCTGTCTTAAGCTAATGAAATTAATTACCCAAGGATTATTACACCAGTATATTTCCTCTTTAAATATTCTGAATAACTAACAAAAGCTAATAGCTGATTTGACTGTTTCTAACTTTTAACTATCATGAACAGTGCTTTAAAGAATCCTTATACCTGTTTCTCTCTCTTACGCACATAAGTAAGTATTTCTCTAGGACAAAGTTTTCTAGAAACAGAATTGCTAGGTCAAAAGACACAATTCCTCTTTAAATTTGATAGACACGAAGTATGTTTACACTAATTAACAATTCCACTGAGGATATTTCAAAGTATCCATACTGCTAGCAAAATGAGATAGTCTATTTTTAAAAAACCTGTTGCCAATTAGATGGACAAGAGATTTATCATTATTCTGTTTTGTATTTCACGGTTTTTGATCAGCATTTTCTAAACTTTTGATCATTTAGATTTTCTTAGAAATTATTCGTTTTATCTGGATAGTAAAATTTATTACTACAAAGCTGTACAGAGTACTTTCATACAATTTAAAGATTTTTTCCCCATCTGTGGTCTTTAAATTTGCTTTAAATTGCTTAAAACAAATATACTACTGGCAAATAAGAAAGTTTTGCCCCTTCCTTCCCTTAATTTATCTTTTGCAGGGACTAGGACTTCCAGTATGAACAGTGAAAGCACACGTCCTTGTCTTGGTCCTTGGTACTAAAATTAACCTGGACATTAAGTTTGCTTTTTAAAATTTTTTGATAGACATCCTTTATCAGGTTAAGA